ACACATACATACACGCACACCTATATACATACATACATACATACAGACATACATACATACATACATACATACAAACAAACATACATACATACATACACACATCAATACATACATACACACATACATACATACATACATACATACATGCATGCATGCATGCATGCATACATGCATACATGCATACATGCATACATGCATGCATGCATGCATGCATGCGTATATGCACATGTACATACATACATACATACATACATACATACATACATACATACATACATGCATACCTACATACACGCATACATACATACATACGTACGTACGTACATACATACATGCACCCATACACAAACATACACATATGTATATACATATCTGCATATACACACACATATATATATATATATACATACACATACACCTGTGTATGCGATGCAGTTTCCGTGGTGCAATCGAGGTGTTGCGCAATCCATGTGCTACAGTCGACGCCTGGCAGTCTATGGTGCAATCTATGTTGTGCAGTTTGCGTGGTGCTGTGCATGTGGTGCAATCGAAGTGCTGCGAGCTATGCGGAGCAATCTATGTTGTACAGTCTAGGTGGCGACGGCGCGGCGACGGCAGACCGACGGGCAGGCCCAGAAAACGGGCGGCGACGAGGTGGCGACGTGGCGGCGACGGCAACCACAGCCGCCAGACCGACTGGCAGGCCCAGTCTCTTGGAACAGAAGGAAGCACCCATCGGTTCAAGCACTGCCCAGAGAGTCACCCAGCGCGGGCCGCGCTTCTGGATCCGAGGCATGCCTCATCGTGCTCGCACCCGTCCTTTCCCCTCCTCCGCCCTCCCCCTTGGTCCTCCTGTTCTTACCGCCCCTTCCCTGCCAGCTCCTGCTGCTGCTGTTCGTCCTCATCCTCCTGCCGGGTGCTCCTCCTTTTCCCCCCTGCTCGTCCCCCTGCCCGAGAGCACCCAGTCTCTGTCTTTCTCTCTCTCTCTCTCTCTCTTTCTCTCTCTCTCTATATATCTATGTATGTCTCTCGTTCTATCCATACCTCTCTCTCTTTCTCTCGCTCTATCGCTCCCTATCGCTCTCTCCTCTCTCTCTCCCTCTCTCTCTCTGTTTCTCTCCTCTTCTTTCTCTCTGTATATATATATATATATTGTACGAATATGAAAATATCCCTCCCTCTCTCTCTTTCCCCTCTCTCCCTTTCTCTCTCTCTCTCTGTCTCTGTTTCTCTCTCTCTCTCTCTCTCTATATATATGTATCCCTGTTCCCCTCTCTCTCTATCCCTCTCTCTCTCTCTTCCTTTTGTGTATTCTCTCTCTCTCTCTCTCCCTCTTGTTTGTTGTCTCTCTCTCTCTCTCTCTTTCTCCCTCTCTCTCTCTCCCTCTGACGACATCTCCAACTCGGCGTCGGCGCCGTGTGTGAGGCATGGCGCAGCGACTTGAACCGACGGTGGTCTCGCAAGCCATGGATGCTCCCCGTGGGCTATGACCCATGGTCGCCGTACGTGTGAAGCGACTTCTCGCTCAGGCGAACAGCCGCCCGATTTTCCGCCCCGAATTTCGGCCAAGTTCGCAGGACATACTTTCTACGACTGGCGACCGTGGTCTCTGGTGGATGTCATCGGTTGTTAGTCCTTCATTACCGGTGTTGCGTGAAAATTTGTGAAGCGACTTCATTCCTCTTCCTATCCATTATGTTCCCCCTTTCTGGTCTTCTCTTGCACTCTCTTTCTGGCCGCTGACATTTAGGGCCTTTGAGCCGCTCTGAGTAGGAAAGGGGGGCCGCGCCCTTCGCGAGCCCTGCTGGGCATCTCCGCCGAGCTTTCGCGCCGGAAGGCTTTCGCGTAAGACATCCTCAATACATGCGCTGATCACGAGGGGCCTCTTCTGACGTTCACCCCAGCTCGGACCCCCCAGCAACACCCACAGTGGTGCTCGGGCACCCTTCAGCCCGGGCCCCCTGGGCTCGCAACCCCAGCTCGGGCCCGCCCTTTTGATTATGGGCAGCCGCGCTCTTCGCTGTGATACATGTTTGGGTCGCATCTGCAGCATGGTCCCTTCCTGCCCGAGTTCAGTGCACAACGCTTAGCGGCCACGCGGCTGGGACACGTTCGCGGCTCTGTTCACTCACGCTAAAAAAGCAGCACTTACAGTAGGGGGCTCGAGAGATCAGACGCAGGGTCGGGTCGAGGTGTCGCGTGTTTTGTGGTCTCGGATGCCTGGGTGGGGAGGGCGGCTGGAAGAGATGGCCGCGGACGCTGCGGAGAAGGGCAGAGGAGGCTGGAAGAGATGGCCGCGGACGATGCGGGGAATGGCAGAGGAGGAGGAGGAGGAGGAGGAGGAGGAGGAGGAGGAGGAGGAGGAGGAGGAGGGGGGAGGAGGAGGAGGGGATCAGGGTGTGGACGGCGGGTCGGCGGAGGGAGGGGGCGGGACACGCACGCGCTACCACCCGCGATCCTATCTGGACATGCTGACCCCTCCCTCCCCTCCCCTTCCCCAGCGGCGTAGCCGTAGATCCCCTCTCTCCTCGTACATCGGATGTCGAGCAGGGCAAGGGTCCCGAAAGGGTAACGCGATGCATTGAAGACGGCATGGCGTTGGCGTCGACGAGCACCGCAAAGAGTAGCACATCAACCTAGAATTATGCATAGCACGCCAGTATGCATGGCACGGGAAAGGACGCCAGCGCTGCAGCGGGAGCACGAGTCGAAACGAGCGGAAGCGCGGAAATGAGGCCAGCGCTGCAGCGGGAGCACGATTCGGAACGAGCGGGGCCCGAAAATGAGGCCAGAGCATTTTGAAAATTATCCCAGTGCGACCCTTCATATGATTTGGAGCCCCTAGGAAAGCAGCATTAGTACGAACAGTAAAGCTAAAGCTAAGCTAAATCTAAGTTAAAACTAAACTAAAGCTAAGCTAAAGCTAAGCTAAGTTCAAGGCAAGCTAAAGCTAAGATGAAGCTAAGCTAAAGCTAAGCTAAAGCTAAGCTAAGGCTAAGCTAAGGCTAAGCTACCGCTAAGCTAAACCTGAGCTAAAGCTAAGGTGCAGATAAGCTAAAGCTAAGCTAAAGCTAAGCTAAAGCTACGGTAAAGGCTAAGCTCAAGGTAAGCTAAAGCTAAGATGAAGCTAAGCTAAAGCTACGGTAAAGGCTAAGCTAAAGCTAAGCTAAGGCTAAACTACCGCTAAGCTAAAGCTAAGCTACAGCTAAGGTGCAGCTAAGCTAAAGCAAAGCTAAAGGTAAGCTAAAGCTAAGCTGAAACTGAGGTACAGCTAAGGTGCAGCTAAGCTAAATCTAAGCGAAAGCTAAGCTGAAGCTAAGCTGAAGCTAAGCTAAAGCTAAGTTGAAGCTAAGCTAAAGCCAAGGTACAACTAAAGCTAAAGCTAAGCTAAAGCTAAGCTAAAGCTAAGCTAAAGCTGAGGTGCCGCTAAGCTAACGCCAAGCTAAAGCTAAGCTAAAGTTAAGCTAAATCTAAGCTGAAGCTAAGCTAAAGCTAAGCTAAAGCTAAGCTGAAGCTAAGCTACAGCTAAGCTACAGCTAAGCTGCAGCTAAAGCTAAAGCTCTCAGGGGACTGGGGGAACCGCGGGGCGGGGACTGGGGGAACCGCCCGGGGCGATTTCCACTGCCCGACCCTTTAAGCTAAGAGAGTAAGAACCCTTCTAGGCAGAGCCTATGTAGGGAAAAATGCAGGCGAAAACCCAACTTCGGGGAAACCTGTGTGTAAAAAACAGTACGCGGGGGGGGGGGGGGTCGAGCACTTTCAAAGTAGTATCATATGAGTAATTGTGAAGGAGGGAGAGGAGCAGGATGGGAGGGAGGGAGGAGGAGGAGGAGGAGGGAGGGAGGAGGAGGGACGAGGGAGGAGGGAGGAGGAGGAGGAGGAGGAGGAGGAGGCGGAGGAGGACGACGAGGAGGAGGCGGCGGGCAAGCATGCTCGGCGGGGGAGGGCCCCTCGGGGGGAAGGGGCCGCGGACGGCGCGCAGGATGGTCGGGCAGGGGCGGAGGACCGGGCGGCCTGCACGGAGGGGGCTGCGGGGAGGGGGCCAGCCGGGAAGGGAGGCAGGAGGGGGATGGGCCATGGTCCAGGCCTCCCGGATGGGGTCGGAGCATCCAGGGTCGAAGGACCGCGCCGCATCGCCGACGCATCGGCGATGCGGCGCTCAATGCGGAGCCCGAGTTGCTTCACGTCGACGTCGCCGATGCATCGGCGCCGTCGGCAGTGCGTCGCCGTTGCATCGGCGATGCATCGCCGATGCATCGACGATGCATCGCCGATGCATTGGCGATGCGGCGCGATCCTCCGACCCCATCTGCTCGGACCCGATCTAGGAGGCCTCTACATGGGGGCAGGGCCCATGGTGTTAAATCGGGCATGTCCCTCTACAGGAGGAATATTTCAGAATGGCAGCAAGAATAGTCGGGGGACGTCTTTCGTGCTTGTTTGGCGATAGTTGAGTAGGGTTGGATGATTTCTGTTGTAGGAGGACATGCCCGACCTGACCATAGTGCCCAGACTGTGCAGAAGCGAGGAGTTGATCCTTCCGGGACGGCTCCGCCGCCGTGAGGATTACAGCAGCCGGCGAGAGTACAACGATGACGCATGTGACGGGCGAAGCCAGCCGGAGTTTGATGCCAGCCTCTGGAGGCGCACGCAGGTCCTGCATGTCAGCGCCAGTGACCTCGGCACATCCGGTGTCCTCGGCATCTCCAGATCGATCAGCGGAGTCCCCTTGTCACATCTGATCTGCTGGCAAGAGCTCCCCGATGTGTTGCACGAGACCGTGGATGGGGGGTGGCTCTCCGTGCGTTGGGGTCCCGCTCTGGCCCACCCAAACATCCAGGTGAATTGGCCGGGAATCCGACGCCAGAACTTTTTACGGGCCAGTCGAGCTTCGTAGCCAGGGCGTCTCGGTTACACGTCTTCTGCCTCGAGTAGACAGCTGCTTTCCAGGCGTTCCTTGGCGCTGAACGCCAAGCAGCTGGTGCAGCCCAGGGAGCACAATGTCGGGCGCGGCCCCCAGTGCGCACCTTGCTGCTTCGAGCGACTGCAAGCACTCTCTGTCCATGGCATGGCTGAGGGTGGAAGTCGCAGGAGTAGGAGGAGAGCGAGGGGAGAGGGCAAGCTAGGTGCGCTCGCGCCATATCTGATACTCGATCCCTCCCCCCATCCCTTTCCACTGCGCTGATTTCTTGTCTATCCGCGGACGCGTGTCATAGCCGGCCTGGAACTCGGCAAAAAGGCCACATCGTGTTATGCGTAACCGGAGCAGGGGAGCTGCGTAAATAGCAGGATGAGGATGATGCTGATGATGATGATGATGCTGATCATGATGATGATGATGATGATGATGATGATGATGATGATGATGATGATGATGATGATGATGATGATGATGAGGATGAGGAGGAGGAGGAGGAGGAGGTGGCGGGCGAGCAGGAGGATGAATGAGCAGGAGGAGAAAAAGCGGGACGAGAAAGGAGGAAGAGGAGGAGGAGGACGAGGACGAACAGTTTCAGCAGGACAGGAACTGGAGTGGAAGGAGCGGGAGGATCCGGAGGACCAAGGGGAGGCGGAGGAGGGGAAATGAGGGCGGTGACGGGGTGACAGCCGTGACAAGTGGTTCGGATTCATGAAAAATGGTCCGTGCTGGGGCGAGGGCGCCATGTTGCACGACGGGAGCACAGCTCTGATTCTAAAATGACGCCCCTGCTGGAGCAGGAGCACAATCTTGAGACGACAGCAATCGGATTTTAAACGCGTGTAGGAAAACGACACGTGAAATCCTGTGTGTTAATTGCAAGCTCGCGGAGAGGGCCAAACATCTTCCGCACAGAGCCAGGGAAGAGCGAAGAGTCGCATTGATAATGCGCATGGCCGAGACTGCAATTGTCTCCGTGAGCCTTCAATTCATTCGACGGAAAGGCCAAGGGAAGTACGCTGCCTCGACAGAACGAGCGCCGAAGAGGAAGCAGTAAGGGCTACTTTGGGATTCGGCAAGGGGAGAGCGGTGGCCCAGCCCTGCAAAGCTGGCGCTTAGGAGGAGGAGGAGGAGGAGGAGGAGGAGGAGGAGGAGGAGGAGGAGGAGGAGGAGGAGGAGGGTACGGAGGAGGGAAGGGAGGAGGGAAATGAGAAGGGAACGGAGAAGGGAAAGGAGGTGAAGGAGGAGGCGAAGGAGGAGACGGTCAGCAGCGGCAGCATCATTGGCGGCCCGTGCTCGAGCCGGCCAGGCGCACCCCCCGAGCTCGGCCTCGGGTACGACGGCGAGGCTGGCCTGGGTGGCGGGGGAAGGGTCGACTACCCGCAGGAGTGACCCTTCGCCGGAGTGCCGATGCGATGCCTCCGACCGCCGAACGCGATGCGATAGTTAGGTCTGCGCGCTTGGGCTTGGCAACCCCGCGCCGCCTGTGAAGCCGCGCGCCAAAGGTCACTCTTGCCTACAGCCCTCCTCGGAACCAAGCGCACGAGAGTTTTTAATGTTCACCGACGCGGGAAACGCGGCCCGCGGGGACAGATTTTTGTGGTTGCAGTCGCCAGTTATTTGGCGCGGGCATGAGCATTCGGGGGTCCTGGGGCGCCGCCACGTCGCGGGAAAAACTTGCGTTTGATTTCGAGGGGGGACGTAGGGTCACTCTTTAGTGTGGCCGAAAGTGGGGCAGGGCACGGTCGAGCCTGGTCTGCTGGCGAGCGGGGGAGGGGGGAGGTCGAGGCCTCCCCTCCGCTCGCGGCACAGGCAGCGGGCCCCTCTATCGCCGCGGCCCGGCATGGCTCGGGCAGCGGGCCCGGACCTGTGCCCCGCAGCCTCCTCCCTTGTCCTGGTCGCCGCCGTCGTCGCCCCCCCCCCCCCCCCCCCCCCCCCCCCCCCTCCCCCCCCACCCCCCCCCCTTCCCCCCCCCCCTCTTCTCCATCGCCGTCGCCGCCTCCTCTCCCTCCTCCTCCTCCTCATCCGCCTCCTCCTCTTCTCCTTTCTCAACAGACTCTCCACCTCCTCCCTCCTCCTTCCTAACCCCCACCCCCTCATCCCCCCTCCCCCTCCCTCCTCCTCCTCCCCTCTTCCCTCCCCCATTCCTCTCTCTCATTCCCCATCCTCTCTCCTCTCCTCCTCCTCCTCCTCTCCTTACCCTCCTCCTCCTCCTCCTCCTCCTCCTTGTTCGCTCTTGCGAATCGACGCTAGTCGACGCAAAATCGATGCGAATCGACGCTAAATCGACGCTAATCGACCCTAGCCGACGCTAAATCGCCTCCATCTCATCGGCTCCCCGACGCTAACTGACGCTACTTGACGCTCACCGATGCTCAGTGCGCCCCGCAGCCGTTGCGCGTGGCCCCCCGCGCCGATGCCGGCCGCCTGCCCCCGCCGGGGGCGCGCGGCCCGGCGCTGACATGGCGCCGCGGCGGGGGCCCAAGGGCGGCGCCGAGGCGGCGGCGAAGAGGGGCTCCGCGGCGAGAGCCGGCTCCTGCGCGTGCGGGGGGGCAGGGCTCGGGCGGGGCTAGCCTACAACATCGACTACACGTACCCTGAGCTCCTGGCGTTGCAATTTTTTCCACGGGCGTGTTCGCCTGATTTCAGGCCCAGGACCCTCACGGATCGATCAGGCTCGACAAATCTGAAATGACGCATCGAGATGGGGTCTGGGGCTCTGGTCGTGATTTTCTGCGATGCTGCATTTTTTGTTCAACGCCAGATCTCAGGGCAAGAGTGACCCTTCGCCCTGGAGTGACCTTTTGGTGCGGGCCCATTGGGCCCCCCCGATCGCCGAATGCGATGCGATAGCAGTGGCCTGAGCGCTTCCACGAAAAAAAGCCGCGCACCAGAGGTCACTTTTCCCCGGGGTCACGCTTGCGTGTAGTCGGTAGGCCTCGGGCGGGGCAAACATACACGCACAGACAGCCGCGCCCTGACATCGCATTGGCAAGATCTGGTTGAAATTGCATGCTAGCCTGCGTGCACGAAGGCGTGAAATCATTGCGACCTTTCAAATGACGCAGTGCCTCCGGGGCACATCGTTGCACCCTTTGTTCACACGTAGTGCGAGGGATAGCTGCGCGGCGCCTCAGGGTGCTGGGCAAAGGGGGAAGCGAGAGGAAGGGAGGTTGGCCAGAGGGAGGCCAATCAACATTGCCACAATATTTTGGAATTCAATAATAGATCCGTCCCAGAGCGTTCCGGAACGCTCTGAGAGCGTTCCGGAATGCTCTGAGAAGGCCGCGGCGCCCGAGGCATCCTCCAGAACCGCCGGATCGCGGAGATTCTCGACGTATCATCGTCCGAATTTGTCCTCGTCCTGGTTTCGTTTTAAGAACAAGGGTGCTCACGGTTCGGTCGGTTCGGTTTCGTCGCAGTTTGTTGCGTTCGGTAGGTTCGGGTCGTTCCGTCATCGTGTCGTTGCCGCGTCGTTGCCCCTTCCAGGCTGCTTGCGACCTGTCGGTTTCGGTTGGTTTGGCGGAAGGACGACGAGGATCTATGGTAGGTTCGCGACATGTCGACAGGCGGCGACCCCGCCGCCGGCGTTCCACGTTGAACGCCGCCGGCGACCCAGAATCGGCCGATGTTGATGTATCTGACGTTTCTGAAATGGCCGATCGTTCAAGGTGGAACGATCCCCGTGGTGTGAGGAATCAACGCTGGGGTCGACACGACACCAACCTGCGGCAGGCCTCCCATATTGTGTTGGAGCAGATAGGGTCGGAGCATGGCACCGCATAGCCGATGCATCGGCGATGCGGCTGGATGTGGGACCCTGAATCATCCATAATAAAAGAACCACTAATCATGATAACACGATGAAGACATAGCCTCACTGAGGTCTCCGCCTTCTGATTAGGGATGATCTGTATGGGTAGTATGGCTTGACACATCTGCAGGAAAGATCCCCTTTTTGTTTGTGTGGCCCTTCTTTGGTCCCCTCCCAAAAGGTAGAGGTTTTTTTAAAAACAAAAATTAAGAGCGAAAAAAACATTAGGATCTCAACCCCTCCTCAGGGTTAGTGGTACACCTTCTCGTCTTGCAGTTGGCATAAGATTCTGCCCCATGCTTTATCCTAAACATGAAATCGCGCAAAACCAGGCAGGCCGTTACCGGTTCCCCCTCCCATCCGCTGGAAAAAATATTATGTATGCGCGCGCATGCTTTTATCACAAATCATCAGTTCTCACAAGTCTCTCGCAAAAGATTTGACGAATTGCACACGCGCACGTCGTCGGGCGCGCATGCCGAAATCCTTCCACAATTTTAGGTGTTGTCAGGATTTTCAATCGAGTGTCCCGAACACATAGAAACATATCGCAAGGTATGGCAGCAAGGTTTTTCAAACAAAACCTGCGCCCGCGTTTTTGTTATTTTGTCGCAGAACAGACCATGATTTTCTACATTTTCATACAATGCTACAAAGCGGACCTCCCGCGCGCGCATACCGAAATCGTTCGAACGCCCTTGCGCGCGTGCTGTCGCAAAAAACCTTTGCAACAAATGGGACGAAGTGCACGCGCGCGCGTTGTCGCGCGCGCGAGCCGAAATATTTCAGAAACCTTAGGTTCCGCAAGGATTTCAGAAATGAACGCTTCGAAAGCAGTATGAATACCACATGGTTTTGCACCATCAGTTTTCAATTAATGTCTGCACGCGCTCTGGCGATTACTTGAGGAAGCCATCGATTTCCAACATAACCATCACATTCTGCCAAACGGGCCTTTCGCGCCGCAGGTCGAACTCATCCGAACGCCCTTGCGCGCGCGCTGGTGGGCACGATCCGTGTCAAATAATAACCCGCGGGCCACTCGCGCGCGTCGGCCACGTGTGCATATCGGACTCCTTCCAAAACCTTTTTCACCCTCGCGAGGGCATCGTCATTGTTATCGGCGGGCGTGATCAAGATCGGCGCCGTCATTGGCCTTTCCGTCGTCTTCGCCAGCATCGTCACCATCATCGCCACCGTCATTATCGTGTCTACCGTTGCGGGTGCCCCCATGATACCGCGCCCGCCCACGTCACCGACTCGCATTGAAGTGCCCGCTGGAAGTGCCCAGCGCTCAGCGCCACCGCGGCCGCGTCGGTCGCGTCGCATTAGCTGGTCGCTGCGCGCGCGAGCCTGCACGGGCTAGCGCGGCCGCAAAATGCACCAGCCAACGCCAAGCACTCATCGCAATCGGCGTCGCATCGGTTTTGCAAACCAAGGTGCGGGTGGGTGGCTGGGATGTTTGCGCGAGCAATGGAGTTGACAACTTCCAGTTCGGCAGGGTGAATTGCTAGTCATGGATTTCTCCACGCCGACCCCGCCGATGCATCGCCGACGTCGCCGATGCATCGCCAATGCATCGCCAATGCGTCGCCAATGCATCGCCAATGCAGCGGCGATGCATCGGCGATTCGGCGCGATCCTCCGACTCCATCTGCTCGGACCCCATCTGGGAGGCCTCCTGGAGGAGGACCGGGGGCGGCCCAGAGTGAGGTAACGATTGGGGGGATCCCACAGCTGGGGCCAGTGATCCTGCAGGGATACCTCGGTGACCCTGCAAGGATATCCCTTGCAAGGATGCTTCCGGGATCCTGCAAAGATTTCCCAGGGATCCTGCAAGGATGCTCCAGGGACCCTGTAAAATCTCCCAAGGATCCTGCAAGGCTGCCTCAGGGATCCTGTAGGACTGTCCCCGGATCTTGCCAGGATGCTTCGCGATCTAGTCGAAATGTCCCAGGGATCCTGCAAGGATGCACTTGTTCAAGACCGCTCCAAGCAGCTGGGATGTGGTACGTAATTGATTGGAGTCGGCGGGAAATGGTTGGAATCAGTTCCAACGTTGTGGTAATTCGTCCAATGTTCGTTTGGATCACCTCCGGCATGCTGGTGCTCGCGCGCTTACTTTGGCGATCGCAGCGCACCCCCGCCCCGATGTTCCCCACCACCCCGCCCAAGCGTTACCATCAACCGCCCCCCCCTCCAGGGTAACGACCGCTACGGTGGGGATGTTCGTTGAGGATTGAGCCTGTAAGGTTTCAGACCCTGGGGGATTCCTTATCTGGTGAGGGCGGCGGTGATATCCATGGCCAGGTTTCAAGTGGTCTTCCACCAGGTTCCAAGCTTGGGTTCCTGATCCAGGAGTTTCGTATCCAATGCCCTCTCCGCGCAAGAATTAATAACAATCAAAACTCTAGATCCTTCCCCTTCCCTCCCCCCGCAGGCTCGTCGCTGTCGATATGGCGTGTCATGCACGACCCGCCCGGCTTCTTCATCGCCTCGGCCATCGCCGCGGCGGGCGCTTCCGTTGTGTCGGCGGCCTTCCAGGAGCAGCAGGGACGGATGGAGGTCGAGGGGGAGGAGGAGGAGGAAGAGGCTCGAGGTTGGAGTCGGCTGGGGCTCTGAGCAGGCCCAGGCACTGGATTCGGCCAGCAAGAAGAGGGGGGGAGCGGTTCCAGGACCTGGGTTCGACAAGGTTCTTTACTCGGTCCCCGAGGGCCGTTTTGTCTGACCCGGAACCATCAGAAAACGGATCTGGAGTGAATAACTGCACCAGACGGACCCCGGCAGGTGTCTGGGGGCCCATCTTGAGCGGAGTTGGTTTCATTACTGGACCGATTTCGGACGGGGCTAGGCCGAGGGTAGACCCGTTCCAGGGCGCTCCGGAACTCTCTCAGAGCGTTCCGGAACGCTCTGAGAAGGCCGCGGCGCGCGATACATCCGCCAGAGCCGCCAGATTTCAGAGGTTCTCGACTTGGGGCGTTCCAGACAGGGCCTCCCCTTCAGGATCGAAGGAGTTGTCATCCCCTCGCCGCGGAAGGCGGCGGGAGGTCGGCGGAAGTAGAACGAGGCCGCCTCCGCCGGCGGAAGGCCGGCGGAAGGCGGCGGAAGTAAACGTTTTTGGGCGCAGGGTTCCCTAAATCGCCCATTTACAGTCGGGGCGCTGAAGAGGGAACCCTGTTCGTTGGGGAGGGGCTCGGTGTTCCTGGATTGTTCTACAGTTTGCCTAGGGTTTTCCTTAGGTTTTCAATGGTAAATCGAAGCTTAACTTCTGGAAAAAAGGGCCTCGTTCCTTATTTAGGGTTCCTCAGGTCAACGCCCCGACGGTATCCTCGCCCGATCTTGTCTTCGTCCTGGCTTCGTCTGACGGTTTTCCCGGGGCCCGAGCCAGCTCCGGCCCCGCGGCCGCCGCCGAGCTCGGAGGCCGGGCCACCGGCTGTGCTTCGCTGCTCCCGCCGCCACGGCTGCAGTCCACCTCGGAGCGCTGGTCGAACCGCACCCCCGGAGGGGTCTGTGGCCGAGGCCGGAGAAAGAGAAACTGTCGTAGTTCCGCGCGGATTTCTCGGATCTGCGCTGGCCCTCCCTGGCGGCGCCTCCGGTGCCGCCCCTGGCGCGCCCCAGCGCAGATCCGAGAAATCCGCGCGGACCCGCGAAAATTGATGTTTATGCCGTTTATTGATTCTCTATTCCAGCGAGGAGGTCGATGATCCCTCCCCGAGCTGGGGAATGAATATGTCTCGAGCGGGACGCCGCGAAGTAGGGGGACCACACCACCAGGAGGAGCCTCCTGGGCTCCTCGCGACGGTTGCGGCGGTTTCGATCTGCTTTGCTTTGAGGCCAGGCGGAGAGGAAGGAGGAGCAGCCCAACAGTGTACGGACACTTGTTCTGTCCAGGCCTGCCCAAGGGCCAGGATTGATGCGCACGCACTCCTGGCGGCCCAGCTAGGAGGGGGTATGCGCCGATCGTGTGCCTGGTAAGGGTCGGTATCAATGTACAGGCGTTCTCCCAGCATGGGGGGGAGGGTGAGGATGCTGAGGAAAGGATGGGGAAAGGGCGACAGGAGCGAGGAGGGATGCGGTCGAGATGTTCCAACGCTTTGCGTCTTGAGCGCCCCGCCCTTGTCTGGGTCAGCGACGCCATTTCTTTTGTTGGCTTTTGGCTTTTTCGTACCTTCTGCGTCGGGCAGTCTATGGCTGTTGGGTTTCGTCGTGCGCGTGACTGGGCTTCCACCAGTGTGCGTCCATTTTTGTCTCTGTCTCTCGCCTCTACCTTCGCTTCACCTCGCACCCTCTTGCACGAAGATCGGAGTTAGGGACTTCTGCTGATGCGAGCCGATGCCTTGACGCGCGCGTCTTGCTGACCTGTGGTGAGCAGACGTCGGCGTGCTCCTCCTGCTAGTCTCCTCCCTTTCCCTCCGCGGTCAGGGAGGGGGGTGGGAGAAAGAGGAAACGAACGAGGAGGATTCGGAGGGGAAGGAGGAGGAGGAGGAGAAGGAAGAGGAGGAGGAGGAGGAGGAGGAGGAGGAGGAGGAGGAGGAGGAGGAGGAGGAGAAGGAGGACCCTTCCTCCGCAGGCAGGTCAGAGGTAATAGGAGGGAGGAGGAGGAGGAGGAGGAGGAGGAGGAGGAAGGAGGAGGAGGAGGAGGGGAGGAGGAGGGAGGAGGAGGAGGAGGAGGAGGGGAGGAGGAGGAGGAGGAGGGAGGAGAGGAGGAGGAGGAGGAGGAGAAAGGAGGACCCTTCCTCCGCAGGCAGGTCAGAGGGAATAGGAGGAGGAGGAGGAGGAGGAGGAGGAGGAGGAGGAGGAGGAGGAGGGAGGAGGAGGAGGAGGAGGAGGAGGAGGAGGAGGAGGAGGAGGAGGAGGAGGAAGAGGGAGGAGGAGGGAGGAGGAGGGAGTAGGATGGAGGAGGAGGGAGGAGGAGGGAGGAGGAGGGAGGAGCAGGGAGGAGGAGGGAGGAGGAGGAGGACGGCCCGGGGCGTGACAGGGGCTCTGGGTGGGGGAGCCTGACGTCGCACGGGGGGCCCGGACGGGGTCAGCGCTCGAGGGGATGGCTCGGGTGGGTGGACGGGGCGGCCCGCCTCCGGGCACAGCAGAGTCGGAGACTGCAACATGTGCCAAGGGCGCCCTCGAGGGCGCGAAGTTATTCGCGCTTCGCGCTTCGGCTCCGCTTCCTCCTCGCCCTCCACTTCTCCCCTGGGAGGCGGCGCGAGAGCGCGAAGTGATTCGCACTCCGCGCTTCGCGCAGCGCGAAGCGCGAAGTTGTGAGCCCTTGATTACCAGTGGCGGGCTGCTTTGTCGATCCCGATGACTTTTTGAGGGTCGAGGACGACGCTGGGGTGGCGTGGTGTATACTTTTTCCCCGATGTCCCTCTGCGTCCCAGTTCGGGGGCAGAGGCCGACGTGGATCGCGAGGTGTCCCAGGCAGGAGGCCCTGTTGGCTTCGGGGCGCGACGTGCGTGCAGGGCGAGGCGAGGCGAGGCGAAGCGGCGCGAGTTGCCTCGCACTGCTGTGACGTCGGGCCCTGTCACGCTACAGGAGGAATGTTCAGAAATACCCCCAAACTCGTCCGGGGACCATTTTCGATTATTTTTTGAACACGTTTTCAATCTATTCTGACTATTTTCCATTTCTCGCCCAAGATTCCCCTGTAGGGGGACAGGCCTGACGTGAGCCATGCTGAGTCGCCCCGCCTCCGCTGCGGGGCCCCTGGTGGCTCCCGGTGGTCCCGCCAGTTGTCCTGGTGGCTTTTCCGATGCTTGTCTCGCAGTGTGCCTCGAATATTGTCTTAAGTCGGGCCTGTGCCTCTTTCGGGAGGAACACTCCAAAATAGTTAGAAATAGTCTGGGGACATTTTTTGGGGCATTTGTAAATATTTGTTTGGATGTTTGTTTGGGGGGCTACTTTTTATTTTTCGTCCAACATCGGCCTGTAGGGGGGCATGCCCGACCTAATGCTTGTCCCGGAAGGTGGTTCCGATGGCTTCGGCGGCGAGCGAGGGGGGGGGGGGCAGTGAGAAGGAAAAGGTCTTCTCAGAGGGCGGCGGGACTTCTCAGAAGCCCTCGCGCCTTCTGCGAGGTTTTCTGTGTCATCGGGGAAGGCTTACAACAACTTCTCGGAAGGCCGGGGAATCTCCGAGCCTTCTGAGAGACGCCCCCTGCGGTTGCCCCGAGACATCGCCACAATTTGCACAGAAGGCGTGCCCTGGCCTGCCATTCCATGACATTGTATGCTGCTCTCCTCTCCTCTTCCCTCTCCTCCAGAGAAAGTGGGAGAGTAGTGGCGAGGGGTCTTCTTTCTTTCCCTCCTGCTCCCTCCGCGTTGGCGTCAGGCATCATCCCCCCTGCAGGGCGATCTTCGAAAGTCGCCGCTCACACGGGCGAGCACAGTGCCGGTCTAGTTTCAAGTCGGGCGTGTCCCTCTGCAGGAGGAATATTCAAAAAATAGTCTGGGGACGATTTGTTGACTACTTTTTGCTATGTCTGAGCATTTTTTGGGGGGCATGTTTCACTTCACTTCCACCATCCGTCTGTAGGAGGACATGCCCGACCTAAGCCTAGTTCGAGCTGTTCCAGGCACGCATCTTTCCATGCCCTCGTCTGCACAGTGTGTGCGCAGACGGTCTAGCAGTGGCGAAGCGTCCTGGCTCGCCTTGAGCCCTACCAAACCATGTTCTAAGAGCCTTTTGCGTTTTTTGTCCACAAGATGTTCTTAGAACATGTTTGGCGGAGTCTGCCTTGTTTTGTCACATCGGGTTCATGTTCTGAAGACCTGGTTTTTGTGATTCGAACATTTGTGGGTTCTGAGAACCTTTCGTGGCAGGACTATGGGAATGCCGGGACGGCCGGTCCCTGCTCGAGGACGGGCTGCACACCCCGCGGTGCACCGTCCCCCGGTGCCCATGGGGCCGCCCGCGCGCACTCCCCCCACGGCGACGAGCCTCGACGCCCGAAGGCCCTCTCCCGCGGCGTCGTTCTCCGCGGCCGCCCTCCTCGCGGCGGCGAGCGCGGGGGGGGGGGGAGTTGAGAAGGAGGATCGGGCCGGACGAAAGGGGGGGAATTTGGGCAGGGTCTGGACGCCCGAAATGGGTACGGAAAGAATGTGTACGATGCCCAACAGCAGTTCCTGTTCATTTTGAACCGGATTCGCTGTCCGCGCCGCCGCGGCCTGTGTCCATTCGAGACAGAAGGCCGCCTGCCCAACATTGGTTTGGGACAACATTTGTTGTCGGGCATTGTACCCATTTTTTCCGTACCCATTTCGGGCGTCCACAAATAGGGGGGTACGAAATCTGCTGCATGCAGCTGGTTTCGGCCCCACTGAGGGGCCCATTCCTCGATACATTGCCGCCTCCGGCGCCGGGAGGCGCCGGGAAAGTCAGCTACGCGAGCTGATTCTCACCCCCCCCTCTGCTATCCCCCCCTTTCGCCCGACCCGAGATCCTGGTATCGCTCGGACGTGTGCGCTTTTCTTGGCGGGGATTATTAAGGAGCATCCTGGATCATCCTGCGAAAAGACCACGCACGAAGCTGAAAAGAGTTCAGGGAACGGACGTCCGAGCGATGGCCAGGAGAAGGCGGCGGGACTTCTCAGAAGCCCTCGCGCCTTCTGGTAAGTTTGCTGCGTCTTCGGGGAAGGCTTGCAGCAGCTTCTCAGAAGGTCTGGGAACTTCCGGGCCCCCTGAGAAGGCCTTCTTCTCCTCACTTGCCCCCCGGGGCTCACCGCCGATCCTCTTCCCCTGGTCGCACTGGTGTGCCCGAAGTTCCAGCGCGGCCCGCTGGCGATCCGAGTGCGATTTGCGACTGCCCTCGCTGCTGACAGAAGAGTTCGCAGAGTGCAGCGCTGCCAGCGGATAGCAAGAGGTCGTGTCTTGTCCTCCCTCCGCGGACCCCCCAGACAAGCGGGGCCGTGTCCCAGAGATGGGCCGGGCTGCTGTTCATCGTGCTGTCCGCGGGCATGTTCGTTGTGGTCAGCGCCTGGGCGGATGGTGCGGCCAAGAAGTCCGCAGCCGTGAAGTCCACCGACATGGGCAGGCTGCCTGGGGGGGGGGCGGGAGAGTCAGGGGCCACGTGAGAGGGGCATCGGCTCAACTGAGGGGGTGTTCGAGGTGCTCTGGCTTGGTGCTCGGCGGCGTTCTCCAGCCCTGGTCATGCCTCCCAGCGGCGGCGCAGAGCTCTCCAGTGGTGCCCGGATCCTCCCGACCGGCCGCCGGAGAGCCGAGCCATGGCCCGAATTGGGCGTGGCTTAATGGGGGGGTCACAAATGGGGGGGTCAGAATAGGTCCCCTTTCGTGCCCCTTTCGGGCCCCTCCGGAGCCGCGGGGGGCTCGTTTAGGTACCGTTTGGGTACCTTTTCGGGCCACACTCGCCGCCCCCCCATTTATGACCCCCCCATTACGCAGCGCCCAACCGAAAGCCAGACGGGGTGACGTCAGGAGTGGATCGGCTCAGGGGGGAGGTGTCGACCCCGGATCGCCCATGGATCGCCGCCAGGGGTCAGAGAGAGCCCACGTCGCCCAGGAGCGCGTGGATCTGGCATCGGGGGCGCATCGCTGATCGATCGGCGATGTGTTGCTGGTTCGAGATCGATGGTTCCCCGCTCTGAGCTGGTCCCCCCCTCACGTAGCCCCTCAGAGAGGACTTCAGATGTGCGTCCGCCGCCTCCCTGCAGTGCAAGAGGAGGTGGAAGAGGGGGGGAGAAGGAGGAGGAGGAGGAGGAGGAGGACCAGTGTAAACCCAAGAGTCACCAATGATGTTGGAGTAAACCCTCCCACCAAGCTCCCTCTTCATACGCCTCTGTAGCGGTTAATTCCATTGAGGGAACTGCTTCGTTGGAAGACAACCTATTGAAGACCTTGAAGCATGCCAAAACATTGTTTCCGGGATTCCAACGCCACGGATCAAATTGACTGTTGTGTCTTGACGATCCTAAAGCATGGCAGAACGCCTTCCTGAGACTTCAACACCGCGAACCAACGTAATTGTTGCAACCGCATAATCGCGAATCCTTACAAAACACCATTTCTGGTACGCTGATCATGGGAACCCGTGAAACTCTTGCACGGCTTATCAAGGTATGTGCGCGGCGCTAAGCCGAGAGCCACATGTTGAAAAGGAACCGCCCTTAATCCGTGAAACTCTTGCAACTGTTTAAAACGAATGCGCGCGGCGCTAAGGCGAGAACAACATTTTGAAAACCACTCGCCCTCAATCCGTGAAGCTCCTGCAATGTTTAAAGACCAATGTGCGCGGCGCTTAGGCGAGAGCCACAGTTTGAACAAGACCCGCTCTCAACCCGCGAAACTCTTCAAAGTTTTAAGACGAGGGGGCGTGGCGCTAAGGCGAGAACCACAATTTAAAAGCGGCCCCCCCACCATCTGTGAAGTTGTTGCCTCTTTTCAGCTTCAAGGTCAGAAATGGTGGGGAGGTCTCAGGCGAAACGCCTGGCCCGCCCTAAAAACTGGCCTCGGGGTACGACAGCAAGAAGTTGTTATAAGGAGGAGGCATTGGGCAGGAGGAGCAGGAGGAGGAGGAGGAAGAGGAGGAGGAGGAGGAGGAGGAGGAGCAGGAGGAGCAGGAGGAGCAGGAGGAGGAAGAGTAGGAGGAGGAGGTGGTGGAGGAGGAGGAGGAGGAGGCTGCTCACTCACTGTTCCCAGGGCCCTTCGTCGCATCTTACCGTGCGGATCGCCCCCGAGGAGCGGAGCAGGGGTTGACCGAGGTCTTGGGGGCGGGTTGTGCCGTGCCGCCGCTCCAGCGGGGATGAGGAGGTGGATGAGCGGGAGGAGGATCGGGCAGTGCCGAGGAGGGCCACCCACCACTAGGGCTTACCACCCCCTCATGGACATCCAGGATCGAGGAGGAGGGAGGATCGAGGGTCGAGGAGGTATGCGACGCTCCTGGGGCGTCTGTGGGAGCCCTGGGTAGTTCTGGAGGGTCCAGAGGGAGCCTCTAGCCTGGAGGAGATGGCGGCCCCCTTAGTGGTGACCCTCCTTGGCACTGCCTGTGGGGAGCAGCGGGTTGGGGGCTCCCGTGTCGTGCCCTGCCGTCGCCTCGTCGGCCCTAGCATGGTCGCTGCAGCTGCCCGTGTCCTCTATGCTGCTGGAGTGCTGCCCTTGCTTTTCCGCCCTCCTGGGTGCCATAGGGGCACCTTGGAGGGGCCTGGGGAAGGGATGCGTCTCTAGGAGATTCCGTCGACCGCGGTTTTGACGCTTCGAGGATGAGGAGGAGAAGGAGGAGGAGGAAGAAGGAGGAGGAGGAGGAGGAGAAGGAGGAGGAGAAGGATGAGGATGAGGATGAGGAGGAGGAGGAGAAGAAGGAAAATGAGCGGGAGGAGGAGGATGAGAAGGAGGAGGAGGAGGAGGAGGAGGAGGAGGAGGAGGAGGAGGAGGGAGGGTTGAGGAGGGGCAGTGATTGAGAGGAGGAGAGGAGGAGGAGGAGGAGGAGGAGGAGGAGGAGGAGGAGGAGGACAAGGAAGGAAGGAAGGACGGAAGTAAGATGAGGAGGAGCGGGAGGAGGAGGAGGAGGAGGAAGATGAGGAGCAAGAGTTGGGACGGTTATTTGGAGGAGAAGGAGGAGGAGGAGGAGGAGGAGGAGGAGGAGGAGGAGGAGGAGGATTGAGGATGCTCCCCCTGTCGCTGCCCATGAGCGGAGGCACTGCCCGGACCCCGTTCCTGGCCCGACCCGCCCGACCTCACGCCCAACAGCGTGGGCTTCGCACTGCTGGCTCAGGCTCAAGAGGACGACCAGGCGTCTGGTCGTTCTCTTGAGCCTGAGCCGGCACAGCGCAGCCCACGCTTTTGGGCGTGAGGTCGGGCTGGTCGGGCCCCTCGCTCAGTCATCGCCCCTCCGGGCCCGGGCCCCCCAGCGCGCCCAGGTGCGAGCGGCTTCGCTGTCGGAGGCCTGATGCTGACCTATCGGCGATGTGTCGCCGCTCCGTGTTCGTTCCCCACCCCCTGAGCCAGAGCCCCCCCCCCCTCCTGTCGACCCCATCATCTGTATCGGCTCCTTCCTGTTTGAACCCCGTCGCCAGCCTTCACGGTCTGATCGGGCCCCTCTTTCCTCCCCTCGCGCTCTTTTCTCTTTTTCGCTCTCGAGCCTCGTTTTGCCTCTGGTGCATCCCACCTTTCTCTTTGACCAGCGCCTGACCGTCTTGCACCACCTGGCGCCCGCGGGCTTAAAAGCTGTATTGGCTCCCCCCCTGTCAGCCAGCGCTCCGAGACTCCCCCCTGGGGGCGCGTGGCCGCACCTAGTGGGGATGGGTCCGGGCACGATTGGCGACGGGGGTGGGGTGGTCCACTCCGGGGTGGGTGCCCCCGCTGACAAGTTAGGCTGTAAGAGACGGGGGTCAGTACAACCGGGGGTCAGCCAGAGCGCCGGACCTTGCAGGATCTGAGGTCGTCTCGGTTTATCGCATCAGCTGCACGTCTCATTTCATTGTTCTTAGAATATATTTCTTTTGTTCTAAGATCACTACGTGGTAGGGCTACATGAATGCCAGGACGGTCGGTCCCTGCTCAATTTCGGGAGGTTCTGAGGTGTTCGAGGAAGAAGCATCGGGACGAACATGCATTTCGGCGCTGGCACCCGCGTTCCACCCGCTACGGAGGGGGTCCAGCACGCACTGCTCGCGCCATGGACATCCACAGTCAGACTTGTGCATACTCAGACTCACTTTCAGATTTACCCACATTCTGTCATTCGTGCTCAGACGCACCCGTACTCGTTACTCAGGCTCCCCAAGTTTTTTCCGCGATGTAGTAGCCATGCCACTTGGGCATCCCAAGGTGGGAGCCACCAGGGCGTAGGACACTCGCCCGTCGGCGCCCAGATTGCGGGGAGTTCCCTGGCGAGACGCTCGTCTCCGACTCCTTCGCTGTCAGAGCAGACTGTGAGGATGTCTCAAGCAGGGCGCTTGCTTTAGCATCCCCAAGGGGGGGGGGAGGGCACCAAGGGACGGGACGTTCGCCCGTTGCGCCCAGATTGTGGGGATGTCTCGATCCAGGCGTTCATTTCGCGGCTCTGCTTTCCGAGCAGTTTGTCAGGGTGTCTCGAGCGAGGCGTTTGTTTTAGCACCCCAGCCGTTGACTGCCAGGGTAGACGGCTCAACCGGTCGCGCCCAGATTGAGGGGATTTGTCGAGCCAGGTGCTCGTTCAGCAGGTGAGGAGTTCTTGGGCGAGGCGCTTGTTATAGCATCCCTCAGAGGGGGGGGGCCAGGGGGTATGGCAGTCGCCCGTTCGCGCCCAGTTTCCCTGGGGATGTCTTGAGCAAGGCGCTTGTTTCAACATCCCGAAGGGGTGCGCCGCCGGTGGGTAAAGCCTTCGCTCGCGTGCTCCCAGAACGCGGGGATGTCTTGGGCGAGGCGCTCATCATCCCAATGAGGGGGGTGGCTGCCAGGGGGTAGAACACTCGCGCGGTCGCGCCCAAATTGTGGGAACGTATCGAGCGAGGCGCTCGTCACGCGGCTCCCAATCCTTCTTCGTTTTCAAAACAAATTGTGGATGTGCGCTTGGTTTGGCATCCCAAGGGGCGGCCGGCAGGGGTCAGGACCTTCGCCCGTTCGCGCCTGGATGGCAGGGATGTCTTGAGCGAGGCGCTCATTGTTGGTGGTTCCGACTAGCGAAGTGTTCGTTTCAGCACCCCGAGGGGGGGCGCCAGGTGGTAGGACCCTCGCCCGTTCGCGCCCAGATGTGGGGGATCTCTCGAACCAGGCGCTCGTTTCGCGGCTCCGATTCCTTCGCTTGTAGAGCAGATTGGTAGGATGCCTCGAGCGCGGCGCTCGTCTTGCACTCCAACCATTTTCCATTCAGAGCCCAAAGATCCCCGCAATGGATCCGGCTAAGACTGTCTCACAGTCAGTCACCCACAGCGGGAATTGCCAGCAAATTTGATGCACATATGGAGATCTCCGCGTCGAGCAGTTTCCTTCGTTGGGTTTTGAATCCGCTGTGGTGGATACTGCGGTCACTCGGACAGACTCAGTCTATCGTTCCTGGCGCATGAGAGTTCGACATTGTGGCCAGTGGGCTAGCAGGGACATCATGACGCAGTGGCCGTACTGCTGTTTCCTGCGCGCCTATCGGTGCCGCTGTTCCTGGGAACGTCTTTATGGCCTTCTTTTCGCTGCCGTCGCTGTCGCCACAAGGCCATTGATAGCTGTCACTAATAAGTTGGGGGCCTTGCATATGTTGGGCCGTATACAAGAACCGCGCGGCGCGACGAGCTTACGATTCTGGCCGCCGTGGTCCCGTATCGTCGCGTCGCTCTTTGTCACGGCGGGGACTTGCGGGGCGCAGAAACCAATTTGCGAATTTGGTCGCCGTGGCCAGGTGGCATCGCGCACTCGTTCGCCCCACGGCGTGCCCCTCTGTTGTTGTTCGCTCCTCCGCAGCCGACTTCTACGTTCCCAGCCTCTCGGGTGTACGATTCCATCGTCCGCGGCCTGGCAAGTACCCTGACGTCGGCGCCACCCCAACGTACTAAGACGATGTGCGCGTCGCCCCCCCCCCCCCCCCCCCCCCCCCCAGGGGCGACGCGCGCACCCGGGAGTCTTGTAGTACATGCGTCGTGGCAGGCGCGTTCTAGCCACACCGCTCGGGAAAAGATATATTCAGAAAAAAACGGCACAAACATGAACTGTTGGCGCTCTGCGCTGGGCCCCCCCTGGTGGCGCCTCCAGCGCCGCCGCTGGCGCGCTCCGCGCGCCAGGGAGGGGGGTCCAGCGCAGATCCAAGAGATCCGCGCGGAGCGCCAAAAGTTTATGTGTGTGCCGTTTTTCTTC